TTTTGAATCCGTATTTCGCGATAAGATTATTTTTTTTCGCGTTCATAAATAGTTTTCATGTTTGTAGAAATGTTGTGTACGAGAATACACGTAATTGGCATGAGACATCTTTATCCTACAAGTAACTATCATTTATTGGGTTCCATTATGGTGACAACAAGTCTGATATTGTACACAAATATAATAAATCCCTGTTTGCGTGCGCTCTCCTGATACCTCACACTCACCGCTTTTGCTCCCTATTTGACCTTTGTCGTTTCTTTTTTTTTCTAGCTTTGAATAAAAAAAAAAATTACATTTAGAATTTCCGCACCTTTCACTGGAGAATATACACCGAGATTATCTCCAGGCATTCGCTGGCACGAAACATTTCAGTAATTCCCGAATGACATTACGTGTATGTTACTATATATAGGATAGAAGAAGCATTAACTAGAGTCCGTTTTAGCAATATTGATGACGTCATAGCCATTGGAGTACACGACATCACACCTGTTATTGACAGAGTTCAGACGAGTTTGTCGCCGGCGCTTTTAACTCCACGCGATATGTTGTAATAAAAAAGTGACAGACACGATGATTGCGATACAACGATGTGTACACCAGCATCATGATATCGTTTACTTAACAACTGAAGTTTGGTCGTGTTTCAAGATGAAGGTATCCGAACGCGGTAACGTATTGATCCGCTCATTGCTTGTCTGATTCATCCTCTGTTACATTAAAACAAAGTATAAATTATATTATATTAAATCTTATTATATAATGTGGCTGTATGCCTTCTGTCATTAAATGAAATCCTTATATGTGACTTTTGTTAAAATATGATATCACTGGATATTTCCAGTTCAACCAGTTAATATCGGGAAACCAATTAATATTAGAAAACCGGTTAATATCGGGCGCCGCTAATAATATATTCTGGAAATACCCTAACATCCGGGCTCCTGTTACCGCAACGACGACCTGAAGAGATGGAGTCGGGTGGTATGTCTGCTCCTCCTGCACAGAGAAAAAGAAATGCGCTTTGCCTTCAGGCTGATATCACAACATGGTGACCAAGTAAAAAGTCCAAAATTGTATGATATTAAATTAGATCAAATTATGTTATGTTAAGTGTTGTCGAGGTTTCGCTCACAATCCCATATGTATGTTATAGTGTGATTGCTTTTTCCGGTTCCACAACATCCTGTGTTTTACACCTCACTGCTGTCGATGGTTTAGTATATGATATCATGTTTATCGACATGTACACTGGTTGATGATGTATTTTCGTCTGTTTCACATTTTGGTCAAAAATTAAAGGACAGAAATAAAGGCTTCCTTAGCATAGTTATGATCTTGTACTCCTTCACCAAACGAGTCTCCACAATTGTTCCTTTTAACGAGCCTCTGGCAAGAAACATGTATTTAGTTTAATTTCGTGTCTATTTCAGTGTTCAGTGTCGTTGTGGTTAAACTACAGTTCCGTATATTTTTCACTTTTCAGTGTTGTCGAGGATTAACTACAATTCCGTTTCTATTTCACTGTTCGATGTTGTCGAGGATTTACTACAATCCCGTATCTTATTTACTGTTCGATGTTGTCGAGGATTTACTACAATCCCGTATCTTATTTACTGTTCGATGTTGTCGAGGATTTACTACAATCCCGTATCTTAATCACTGTTCCATGTTGTCGAGGATTTACTACAATCCCGTATCTTATTTACTGTTTGATGTTGTCGAGGATTTACTACAATCCCGTATCTTATTCACTGTTCCATGTTGTCGAGGATTTACTACAATCCCGTATCTTATTCACTGTTCAATGTTGTCGAGGATTTACTACAATCCCGTATCTTATTCACTGTTCGATGTTGTCGAGGATTTACTACAATCCCGTATCTTATTCACTGTTCCATGTTGTCGAGGATTTACTACAATCCCGTATCTTATTCACTGTTCGATGTTGTCGAGGATTTACTACAATCCCGTATCTTATTCACTGTTCAATGTTGTCGAGGATTTACTACATTTTCGTCTCTATTTCACTGTTTACTGTTGTCGAGCTTTCACTACAATTTCGTGAATAGTTTGCTATTGAATTTTGTCGAGGATGTACTTTAATTCCATGTCTGTTTCTGTTTTCATTGTCGTTTAGGTTTTACTACAATTCCGTGTCTATTTTACTATTCTTTCTATTGTACTGTTCAATGTTGTCGAGGATACACTACAATGCCGCGTCTATTTCATTGCTGTAGAGGATTTACTACAATTTTTTGTCTATTTTACTATTCAATGTTGTTGAGATTTTACCACAATTCCGTGTCTACTTCCATTTCGGATCTGTTTCAATGTTCAGTGTCGTTGAGGATTTAACACAATTTCGGATCTGTTTCAATGTTCAGTGTCGTTGAGGATTTAACACAATTTCGGATCTGTTTCACTGTTCAGTGTTGTTGAGGATTTAACACAATTTCGGATCTGTTTCACTGTTCAGTGTTGTTAAAGATTTACTACAATTTCGGATCTGTTTCACTGTTCAGTGTTGTAAAAGATTTACTACAATTTCGGATCTGTTTCACTGTTCAGTGTTGAGGATTTCCAACAATTTCGGATCTGTTTCACTGTTCAGTGTTGTTAAAGATTTAACACAATTTCGGATCTGTTTCACTGTTCAGTGTTGTTGAGGATTTACTACAATTTCGGATCTGTTTCACTGTTCAGTGTTGTTGAGGATTTACCGCAATTTCGGATCTGTTTCACTGTTCAGTGTTGTAAAAGATTTACTACAATTTCGGATCTGTTTCACTGTTCAGTGTTGAGGATTTCCAACAATTTCGGATCTGTTTCACTGTTCAGTGTTGTTAAAGATTTAACACAATTTCGGATCTGTTTCACTGTTCAGTGTTGTTAAAGATTTACTACAATTTCGGATCTGTTTTACTGTTCAGTGTTGTTGAGGATTTACTACAATTTCGGATCTGTTTCACTGTTCAGTGTTGTTGAGGATTTCCAACAATTTCGGATCTGTTTCACTGTTCAGTGTCGTTGAGGATTTACTACAATTTCGGATCTGTTTCACTGTTCAGTGTTGAGGATTTCCAACAATTTCGGATCTGTTTCACTGTTCAGTGTTGTTAAAGATTTACTATAATTTCGGATCTGTTTCACTGTTCAGTGTTGTTAAAGATTTACTACAATTTCGGATCTGTTTCACTGTTCAGTGTTGTTAAGGATTTACCACAATTTCGGATCTGTTTCGCTGTTCAGTGTTGTTAAAGATTTACTACAATTTCGGATCTGTTTCACTGTTCAGTGTCGTTGAGGATTTACCGCAATTTCGAATCTGTTTCACTGTTCAGTGTTGTAAAAGATTTACTACAATTTCGGATCTGTTTCACTGTTCAGTGTTGTTAAAGATTTACTACAATTTCGGATCTGTTTCACTGTTCAGTGTTGTAAAAGATTTACTACAATTTCGGATCTGTTTCACTGTTCAGTGTTGTTAAAGATTTACTACAATTTCGGATCTGTTTCACTGTTCAGTGTTGTTAAAGATTTACCACAATTTCGGATCTGTTTCACTGTTCAGTGTTGTTGAGGATTTACCACAATTTCGGATCTGTTTCACTGTTCAGTGTTGTTGAGGATTTACCACAATTTCGGATCTGTTTCACTGTTCAGTGTTGTTGAGGATTTACTACAATTTCGGATCTGTTTCACTGTTCAGTGTTGTTGAGGATTTACCGCAATTTCGGATCTGTTTCACTGTTCAGTGTTGTTAAAGATTTACTACAATTTCGGATCTGTTTCACTGTTCAGTGTTGTAAAAGATTTACTACAATTTCGGATCTGTTTCACTGTTCAGTGTTGTTTAGGATTTCCAACAATTTCGGATCTGTTTCACTGTTCAATGTTGTTGAGGATTTACCACAATTCTGTTTCTATTTTACTATTAAATGCTGTCGAGGTTTTTACTACAATTCCGTGTCTATTTTTTTCGGGTCTTTTCAAGTTTATTACAAGTGTTTCCTGTGTTTTACTACCACTCGTGTCTTCTTTAGAGTACACGATAAGAAATCTACGACTTTGGAAATAATTTCACAATTTATTATGGTTCTCATCATAAACTGCCTTTTTTCTACTACAAAACAGTTATGTACCTTATTTTTTTTATAGAGAACGGATAGCTGAAGTCAGTGATAGACTTATATAAAACTAAATGACTGAATGCTTTCCGGAACTCTCGACAGGATATATCAATTTTAAGGAAAAAAAAAAGATATCTATTTTGATTTTCATCATAAACCAGTTTCAATTCAGATAAGTTACGCCAAATCTTTGAGTGATGAGAAGGTTAAAGTCAACGACTGAGAGAGATCGAGTTCCAAAGTTTTAATGCTGAAATATAAGGGGTCCAGGAAGACGGTGGTCTTTGGTGAATTAAAATTATGAGGTTGAAAACGTTTAATTCAAACGAAAAACCGATTGCACGACATTCAGATATGAATTTAGAACAAATGTTCAAAGAAATCCTTGAAAAAAAATATATCATTCGTTCCGGAAGGGTAAGCGTCCTATGCTTCATCGACAAAATCCAGCTTGTAAATCTTAGTCATTCAAAACATTGAAACAAAGGCATACCATTGGGTATTAAACACATTTAACTTCACATGGCATAAGGAGATTTCCCAGTTAGATGATGATATCGACCATATAATTTCCCCCATAATCTTTACCGACGTGCATGTCCTTAAACCATGTGTTACAAATTTTATGCATCGAAATGATCTACAGAACAAGGCCCTGAGTATTCAATCAAATGCGACAAATAAACATTGTAAGTTGGGAAGCGGGTTGTTACTATCTAGAAATGGAAAGTTCATTCTTTATATCTTATCATACAGTTAAGCTGTTCCGGAGGATATTTCATCTTCCGAATAATTATATACACCCCTGACTTACGGCTTCTTGATAATGTATCATCCATATTTTGTTCTTTTGTTCTCTTGCAGTGACATCCCTGGTCTCCAGCGTCATGTCCTTGACATTGATAGCGTGCGATCGTTTTTTCGGGATTGTGTTTGCTATGAAGGCCCATATCATAGAGCGACGTGCATTTCATAGCATACTTGTAATATGGGTTATTTCCCTTGCTATGGGGGCGCCCATGTTGGTCGTACGAACAGTCCACAGACGACAATGGCGTGACCATTTGGAACTTTGGTGTGAGGGTGATTGGCCAGTTGTCCAGAGAGTGTCGCCTGAAACTGGACAGAGGATGGACCATCGTCCAGGTCGAGTGGCTTACTTAACAATAATTACTGTCGTCCTGTTTTTCCTTCCGATGTTGATAATGCTAGGCACATATGTCGGTATTATCAAAACCTTATGGCAAGCGAAAGTTCCCGGGGAACGACTGTCTAGCGATGTCAAAGTGGAAACAAAAGTCAAACGAAAGGTATGTCATCGTACAGAACAGTGAATGACATGTGTAATATGAAAGTGTCGATATTCAAGCATTTAACCACTTTCCTTTGGCATTCACGGAGAAATGAAAATCAACAAGATCGGGACATAGTCATTATGAATTTGTCTTTATCCTGTTAGCAATACCTCCCAGCCCAGGAATGTCAAGTAAAAGTAGTCAAAGGTTCATATTTATCAATTTTTATTTTCATTTTGCTAAAGGCAACACCATTTGTTTATATTGATTGCTACGCTGATGGCAGTTCATGAGCTGGTAATACACAACTGACTTAGGTATGGTTACAATTCATGCAGGGTGTTAACATTAATGGGTATAGCAGCTCAATACAGCTGGTTTATTCTTTGGAAACGAAAGTGGGGAAACCAATCAGGAAGGTTCGCACAATGTTAATATACCGGTATCGATGTGAAAAAAATAACTCCCACTCATAATTTTATCAATTTAATTGCCTTCCATTTTGAAAATTGTCAAAAACATCAAATAAGTTAGTGCGAGATTCAAATGATTAAAAAATTGTTCTATTAACTAGGGAAACAAAACCGAACAAGGTCTTTGTAGCATACTGTGGATTTCAATCCTGTACTTCAGTATAACGTTAAATAACTCATTACCTAGATTTTTAAAAAATCATTTAAATGTCGCCCATATACTTATATGTAGGGACAGCTTGATGAATGTCCAAATATCTACTTTTTAACCTCAAACACGTGTGAGACTAAACTAGATATCTTATACAAAGGAAATTATTTAGAAATCTAATCTAGTAAATTAGGTATTTTATTTAGTAAATCGGAAATCTCATTAACTTAAAAAAAATTTTCTTTAAAACAACAATTAGATATCATCAGGCGTCCGGGGTTCGATTCCCCGGAATGGGCGTGAAAAGGTATGGGGTTATCTACCCGACCGCGTGGGTCTCTCACCGGTGGTCCGGTTTCTTCCCACGATAAGTTACCTCGCGCGCTTGCATCCGGGCCAAGAAAGGTGATTAATATAAGCTCGGAGCTTGTTTCGCATGTTGGCCTGGCAAGCCATGCGCAGGTGTTAGTTTTTAACTATCATTAGTGAAAGCGCTATTAGGAAATAGATATAATTTGATTCTGTTACACATCCTGTCAGCTGTCACGGTCTACATGACCTTGATACTAAAACATTACTGTTTTAGTTCCAATATCACCACAGGGAAATGTGCCTTAAAGATGGAGGCGGAAAATACCTCATCAAGTGATGCCCTCCAAATATATCTCTAGAATTTAATTACAAATCAAGTAGGAAATTAATCTCCTTTGAAAGAACTGATTTGTATGTTTTTAGAATCTGAATGACTTCATGTTTCGGTTTCTATTGGCAATACAAGAAATTATCACCACACCACTTCCCATACAAATATAGAAACGCATCGTCACTGCAATTGATTATCTTCACGCATACTGCCTTAAGGGACCCGACAAAAGCTGAATGTCTGAAGCCTGTAACATATATATACTGTCCAAAGAGGCCTAAAATCCTTTAGATGGCGCAATTGCTTGTTGAGAGAATGTCGCGCTAACAGCAAATTATCTGTAAAGTTTCGGATCTCAGGAACCTCGGTGGTCATTTTATGAATTAGATATGTATCGATTACTATTTTATCAATTTTTGATGACGGAACGGATATTTTTGTTTATTTATTTATTAATTTGTACTTTTTGGTGTCCAGTTTCACATTTCCTAATTTTTCGGTTTTTTTTTTTTGTTTTTTTTTTTTGGGGGGGGGGGGGGGGGGGGGGGGGGGGGAGGGATTTTATGATTTTTAGAATGACAGTAATTAACATTTCCAAATATAATCCCACGGAATGCAAGAATAAGAAAAAAATACTGGATACAGTATGACAAAAGGGGGAAGCGATGGTTTGTCTTCAAATATATCGTGATCACATTTTGAAAAATATGAAAACCTCTTTCCAGATTTAAAATTCATCAACTTATAAATAAAATAAGGTTACTCTTACACACTTCTTATTTATTTATAACAGTGACGTTTTTTTTTATATCGGCGATTTCAATTTATGATTGGGTTGAGAATTTGAACGTAGCACTCAAACGTAAATTGTACTGAATTCATTCAAAGTGTAAGACAAGGTTATAGGTACTGTGCACCACCACCAGTGTAGATTTTGCGATTTCGGGCAGGGTTGAGGTGCCCATTAGAGACGAGAGCGTGTCTTATCCAAAAAGGGAAATGTGTTCCTGGCCATTTCTACCTATATATCCGAATTCTTCAGGTCATAACTTGGTTTATACTTGGTCAGTCTCGTTGATCAAACACCCATTGGTAAGATAAACATTTTCTTTTCAAACTAATGTGTGTATTAGAGATCTACTACCCTTAGAATAAAAAAAAAAACAAACAAAAAATATATAATTGAAAAAAATATATATACATTTTTTTCTTCTCGGGAGTTACATCCCTTGTCACTATAATACATACATATGGACCGTGGACCGGGAATTCTTGCCAAATCCCTGTGTAAGTAAGTGGTATTATTATGTTTTAATACACCACAAACTCAGAAATCGACTAAAGGTTTTGGATGTTATGGTGTATTTGTCTGCCTGAAACACGCTCCTTTTGAAACCGTTAATGTTCATGATGACGTATATTAGCATATTCTTTGAAATGTAATGATGATTAATCTACAGAAATTATGTGTAAAATGTGCTTTATATTTCACCAACAGAACACGACGGCGTGATGATTAGTCATTTTAATGGCAGTATGTATATTTTATGATTGTTTTCGAAAAGGTCGAGTCATGTCTTCAGCTGCGAAGAAATGAATTTTATTGCCCCGGAGACGCAAATATTGGTTGTTTCTAGGCTAGTACAGGACGTGAAATGGAATCCATGAACAATATTATATAGTGCTTGTAAGAGAATATGAGGGCTACAAATCTGACGATAGTTAATACCTAGATCAGAAGTTACCGATAAAGTGACACCCTTGATATCAAATTATGACGACAATTATTGGGAGTTTTTTTTTTCTTGTTTTTTGTTTTTTTTTTTTTTTTTTCTTGCTTTGACATTACAAATGTGAATAATACGGACAGGATTTTAACAGTATGTGATCAGGCATTTGGACATTTGTGATCTTTTAGTTTTGAATTTAAAAACAAAGTGCAGTCAAGTACTGCTTCAAAAGCCTACAGTGTTTTATGTATTTCAAATGATTCGATCTTCAAGGGTTTGTTTTTAATATCACGATGGCCGTGATGCAAATTGACCACAAATCCGAGGTTTCGAGAGGGATTAAATAAGGCTATGATAAATTTGTTTGGCCTCCATTATGATCTCAGTAGGAATAACTTATATCTTTATAAGATATGAAATTAGCTCGTTACGTGCCTGTTGGTTACTTAGATATTGCCACGGCTCCAATTTTGAGATCGTGACATTATATGTACTTAGCTAATTGTACACTGAAAGTATCGTCGATTAAGTAGAAAACGTTAAAATCTACTGATCATCTTATCTTGTTCTCTATTTATTCTTCTTATAAACACTCTTTTTAAATATTTCAGTTTTCTTCGCATTACGTTTTGTAAATTTTGAGCTTTGATTTAAAATTTGATTCCCCTGTCGTGTCTTTAATATGATTCTAAAAACATCTCCGATTAATGAGAAATGCAGGCGATGCATATTTGCCTGTCAAAGCAGCATCCAAATTTGTCTGTATAAAACATTGTCAGAAGAATTTTATATCCAGAAATTATTATTGACATGTAAAAAGCACAAAAATTGTAACTATTTTGGGCTCGTTACATAACGATATGAGCTCCAGGTGAGTTATTTTTAGATCATAATACATTACTTGCCACAGATATAGATTTTAGTAGCTGCAATGAAATATTATTAGATAATATAACAGTGGTTATTTTTAATTACGTTGGTTGTGGAAAAGAACGTATCAATATGGGATATGATTAAGATATGTAATGTTCATATCGATGTCGCGAGGATGAGGAACGTCGAGGAGGAGGAGGAGGAGGGCGACGACGATTAGGAACGAGGAGGAGGAGGGCGACCACGATTAGGAACGACGAGGAGGAGGGCGACGACGATGAAAAACGACGACGAGGAAGAGGAGAAGGAGGAGGGCGACGACGATGAAAAACGACGACGAGGAAGAGGAGAAGGAGGAGGCGACGATCATGAGGGACGAGGAGAAAGAGGGCGACGACGATGAGGGACGAGGAGGAGGGCGACAACGATGAGGGACGCGGAGGATGAGGAGGGCGACAACGATGAGGGACGAGGAGATGCAGGAGGACGACGACGACAACAACGACAAGGAAAGACGAGGAAAAGGACAAGGGGAAGAAAATGGACGACGGGGATCAGTAGTGGCACCACTAGCAGTAGGGACGGTGGGGTGGGAGTTGGGGTTGGGGTTGGGGATGGGGGCGGGGATTGGGGTGGGGATGGAGGTACAAGGAGTTGATATCTATATGTTATTGCAACTGCGCTTTTGATCGTGTAAAGACTGTAAATCCATTTAATTCTTTTTAAATATAAAACATCATTTCTTTCCTGATATTCTGTAAAAATTAAAAGTGAATTGGAATACTGCCAGTTTTTTAATAATGGAAGCTCTTTAAACCTAGTCACATTTTCATTTCATTTTAACTCGCCAAAATATGTTGACATCTTTTTTATTTCTTTCATTTGCTCGATATGAAATTAAAACCAATATTTTATCACGCGTAGTTAAAATATCTCACCACTCTGTGTTTTCAAATTTGTAAAACATTATTGCAACATACAATTTAAAAAAAAAAACTTGAATCGATACCGAGTTTGTGTTAATTATGAAAATAGCGCGTGACAATTTTGTGCAATGAAGTTCGTCGATTCTATATATAACCCTTACGTAAGCAGATCAAAATAAGGAAGATTACATCTAATCAATTATACAAGGAGTTTGTTATTTACAAGTTTTTGTCCTATTTCATGCGTTAACCTGTGAAGCAAATTTATGGTAGCTGGACATTATTCAACAAATTCTGGTACTACCAGAACACTCTCATTAAAATGTAGCGTTCACTCCTAACACAAAACCTTAATGATGTTATCCTTTTTAGTAATATGTTATAAGAATGATTTGGGCTTCGTTGTCATAGTAATTCACTTGTGTTTACGACCAAATTGGCTCTTCCTGTACCAGACATTTATGTTGTAATAATTTGAAAAATTACGAAATAATGTGTGATGGATTTGTATGTAATGTGTCTTGCGTTGTAAACTGAAATTTTGTTGCGAAATCAGCATCGCAACATGTGCCATATTTTCTGACTTTTTTCCAGTCTCACTGTCCAGCATACAAAAGATTCCCCACTTTGAGAATAAAGACAGTATCTCCCAGAGTGCATTGCGGTACCCCAATAACACCTCCATTGACGGCTCATGTCATTTCAAGATTCTTGAAAACGTATTTGTGTCAAATGATAAAATAATTCATTATTTATCTGTTTTGTAATTTGCATTATTATTTCGAAAATAAATGTTTGTTCATCAGGAAAATGACTGATTTATTTAATATGGTTGTAAACATGACGGATTATATCGCGTTAGATTAACATTGCGTAAACAGTCACCAACCGTCGTGAATATAATTTGTACTTTCACTTTTCAACTACCGACGTGTTCTCGAGATACATGTTGATACGCTGTGATATGTTGATATCCTGTGATATCCGATAACTAGTGGTAATTTGGCTATAATATTGGCACGTGACCTCTCAAAAAGTGCAAATGATGCCTTAATGCAGATCTGTGTCCTTCGTTGGTGTACTCAAGGATGCCGCCATAGTTTTGCATGACGTCAAACTTTGATCCCTGACCGCAATATGAACTATTGGTAGATCGTGAGCCGTTTAGAGAGGTGAGGTGTGACTGTTAAGGATTGGAATGAACTCTAATTAAAAATTGAGTTACTTCCCCTTTGATAATGACTAGCAGGGTTATGATTCTCCACAATGTTGTGTTGCGTTGTAGACTGGGATTCTGTTGGAAAATCAGCACAGCAACACGTGCTATCTTTTCGAAGTCTCATTACAATATCACTTTTTGTTCTTCCATACAAAAGAATTCCCACTCAGGGAGTTAACACTAAATGAGAATTGAATTACTTCCCCTTTGATCATGACTAACATCATTTCATTAAGTCAACATTACATTTACTCTTATTTTGGTGAACACTTCGTCCTTCTGGTGGTAGCCGATAATAAGTTTGTCGTGTTGCACGCTGCAGGTTCAATCGGAGTAAAAAGGTTGTGATGTTTATTTCCTCCTCGTCAACAGCCATGGCCATTTTCAGGTGGTTTCTTCTTGAAGCTGGTGATTGCCTCACCGAACAACATGCGGGAGACTCGATGCATCCTATCAAATGCAAATGGGGTAAAGTGGACAATCACAACAGCACAGGAAGATCCGTGATCTCAACTTTTAAGTAGGGACCGAACCACAGACTTCCGGACTTCATCTGGAATTCCAATACTCCACCGTCTGTAAAAATGATGTTTGGCTTATTTGTGGAACATAGCAGTGACTATATATATATATACTAGCATTATCTTCATAATGCGTTCCTGCTGTGAGTCGTTTTATCTGACACAAACAGACATTTTGTGTTGATTGTTTATCCGGCCACCCCTAACGTTGTGGTCCCCGAGTTTGTCACTGTCAGGATGACGCCACAATAGCGGTCACCTTCAGAATCAACCTTTGCTCATTACCACTCTTCCGGTTTGGGCAACAGGAATCGGAAATGAATTAAATCCAGAAAGGCAGAGGATATGAATTTGCCCAGTGAAACTAATTACCGCTTCCGTTTGTTCGACCGCCATGTCATTTAATCTAAAAATATCATAAAAAATCAAAGCCGGCGTTGACTATTGCTTTTAACAACAACAACAACAACAATATTTATGTATAAAAATCGGCGGATATCTTATATTTATATCATAGTTTCGTAAAAGCAATATTTATGTTTAGGTGACATTACAGGAAAACGATTTTTTTTCTTACCGTTTTTTTTTCTCTTTTTCGTTTTAATTATTGCATATGTGTGTGTGTGTGTGTGTGTGTGTGTGTGTGTGTGTGTGTGTGTGTGTGTGTGTGTGTGTGTGTGTGTGTGTGTGTGTGTGTGTGTGTGTGGGTGTGTGTGTGTGTGTGAGAGAGAGAGTGAAATGTATTACCTTATGAAACAATGACATCAAGGTTTCACTGAGATATTAACATAAACAGTTAATTATTGAAAAAAGGAAATCTTTGTTGATCAACAGTCAGGATATTTTTTACGTCAAATATGATAACTTATGCTCACAAAACACGTTCGCCTGTAAAAAACAAAATGGCTTCCTACCTGAACCGGTTGGCGATTAATGTTGATTATTACTGAATTGACTTCGAGGTATTAAATAACATTTGCCACACCCATAACATGCTAAAAAAGGGGATTTTACTTAATGTGTCACTACTGTCGCTGTAATTTCTGATGGCCATCATGTGTTCATGTTTACAAAATAAACTGCCTCGTTTTCAAAACTATCGCGTGAGGTCAACCGCGCTCAATTTCAGAGGAGTTTCCCGAACCAAAAAAGCGGTTCAGCTGGACATTGGAAATCGAATGTGAATATCGGAATAGCATAGAAACATCATTGGAAGTGTATAAACATGTTGTCACCTTGCCGTCCTGGGTTCGATTCCCGGAATTGACGAAAAAATGTATAAGGTAACTTGCCTGACCGTGGGTTTTTCCCGGGTACTCTGGTTTCCTCCCAAAGTAAGACCCCTCGCGCGCTTCCATCCAGGCCAACAAGAGTAATTAATATAAGTAGGAAAAACTCGTTCGAAATTGTTAAACAAATAAAGTTAATTTATTTATCTAACATTTTACCATGATGTCGCTTTAATGCATTGTAACTTTTTCGTGAATAGTAAAACGATAAGGTCAGCAACTGTGGTCTCCTAATGTAAGCCTAAACCTGATTTGTATGGCCTTAGAATTGTCACGTGATGTTAGAGTGCTCTTTAAAAAACTTAAATAAGTTTCCTACATTTTGTACTGTCAAAATCATGACTATCATGAAAACCATACGTGGTGCCCGGCTTTAGAATCCCTAATGAGCCCCGACATCGGTAATTGATAGTCGAGATATCTGTGTATTATTACGTAAGGGAGAGAAGACATGAAGATTGCTTCGATTACAACTGTGCACTATGTATAGAGTGAAAATGGAATATTTGTGGTTTGAATTTAGTGGAAAGAAGTCAATGAGTTAAATACAAAATGGAAATGAACAATATGAAAACATATTAATATTTCATTGTAACATTAATATAGATTTGTATATATTTCATAGTCACAGTAAACATTCGAACTTACTTAAATCAAATACTCGGATAACTCGTCACTTCGACTCTCTACTGTAGTTTGTTTATCGATTAAACAGGCAATGAAATTAACATTTATCGTAATTGTGATCGGTGCTTTTGTTTATGACGAACCTTTAGCAATATAAAATAATTCTCGAAACTGTATGGTGATTTTTTTTTCAAATCAGGCTTTCACTAAATGCTGCCTCATTCTATGTTTTACGACTTTGCTGACTCAAATCTACAAAGGATCGAAAAAAAACCGACACGTTTCACAAAATCCCATTTGCAATAAAAACTCCACACTTTATGATGTTATTCTCTTCAGCGTTTTGCTGCCGTTTTCCCGCATTTTGGAACAATATCGTGTTACCGTTTTCTACATGTTTAGAACAATATCGTGTTACCGTTTTCTACATGTTAAGAACAATATCGTGTTACCGTTTTCCCGCATTTTGGACATGTTTAGAACAATATCGTGTTACCGTTTTCTACATGTTAAGAACAATATCGTGTTACCGTTTCCTGCATATTAAGAACAATATCTTGTTACCGTTTTCTACATGTTAAGAACAATATCGTGTTACCGTTTTCTACATGTTAAGAACAATATCGTGTTACCGTTTTCCTATTGAGACGGTTGTTACTACATCTATAATTGTTTTGTCACGTTTTCTATTTTACTTTTTTAATCCCTATTTTTTACCACACTTGTTCTCGTATTCTTTACGCAGGCATGCATGCATATGAACCATATATCTAGCATAATCAGTTGATTCATGCCCTATCATGTATTGTTATATGTGGTAGCTTATAAGCTGGTTTACTTATTTAACTTCCATCTTTAATATTTTCCGCCTGATTTGACTTTTTCAAATGGGAAACAGTTTTCTTTCAGTGTAATCAAAATTTGGAATATTTAATTATCTCCCTTGTTTTGATGTTTATTGCCACAGGTGGTGTTCATGCTGGTAATAATTATGGTGCTGTTTTTCGTCTGCTGGTTTCCTCTCCAGTTTTCCGTTTTATACGATACATACAGACCTAATCAAAATAGTCCGGTAAGTTTATACATACAGACGAAATCAAAATAGTGCGGTAAGTTTATACCTGCAGTCTTAATAATAATAGTGCGGTAAGTTTATACCTACAGTCTTAATAATAATAGTGCGGTAAGTTTATACCTACAGACCTGATCAAAATAGTGCAGTAAGTTTATATTATATATATTATATCTACAAACCACATCAAAAAAGTGCGGTAAGTTTGTACGTGCAGACCAAATCAAAATTGTGCGGTAAGTTTATACCTACAGACCAAATCTAAATTGTGCGGTAAGTTTATACCTACAGACCAAATCTAAATTGTGCGGTAAGTTTATACCTACAGACCAAATCTAAATTGTGCGGTAAGTTTATACCTACAGACCAAATCTAAATAGTGCGGTAAGTTTATGCCTACAGACTTAATAAAAAGGTGCGGTAAGTTTATACCTACAGACCTAATGAAAATAGTGCGGTAAGTTTATACCTACAGACCACATCAAAATAGTGCGGTAAGTTTATACCTACAGACCAAATCTAAATAGTGCGGTAAGTTTATACCTACAGACCAAACCAAAATAGCCCGTATTTTCTCAATAGCAAATCGTCTTGTCAACATCAATATTTTACTATTTTTAGAAAGTGCTGCATATTCATAAATTATTTGAAATAATTTGCCCGTTTTCGAATTACAGGTTGTAGAAATGGGTTTATTATCAAATTTCGACAAATAATGATGCAAACTATACACAACTTGCAAAATTTGACGGTTAATATTTTTTTGAAAATATATTAATGTATCTTTGGTCATTTTTTTCAGGTTTAAATAAAAAAATTATAAACATATGTGGTTACAAAGACTGAGTCCAATGTTTTTCCAACACACTATCTCTGGTGGAATATTTTTGGCAAAGTTGTACTGTATTTTAGTTGATGTTGCAATATTGTAAATTTCATTCATCCATTGTTTGCTGGTTAAGATGTCTTGGATTTTTTACCTTCAGGCTTTAAAAAGGTCGCAGTTTGTACCAGGCCAACACGCCCTAATGTGTGACAACAGATATACATATATATATTTACATCTTCAGACCTAAAAACACTTTAGTTTGTACCTTACCAGCACACCCTAATTTTTGACAACAAATTATGTTCTGGGAAAGAATCTTTAATCTGATTTTTTTCTGTGAACAGCTGGCAGCCTGGTACAAGGACTTCACCTTTTTCGCTAAACTCTTAGCTTTTTCAAACAGTGCCATGAACCCGATCATCTACGCTGGATTCAACAATAATTTCCGGAAAGGTGAGATATTCAAATGTTGATGATGCAAACATGAAAATATTAATCTGATGATTTTTGTCAGATAAGCTGTCATTTATTCCTCACCATTGCATACCAATAGTTCATCTGAGATGTTATGCTGCGGGCGTTTTGTATTGTCATTTCTGCCATTCTCTGGTTGAAATACAGGAAGAGGGAAAAGCATTGTTTTTTTAGTTGTTTCTTTTTTTCTGTTTGGTGACTAAACATTTAACATTTCTGTTCTCTTGAGGGAGTCCCACACAACTTTTCGACCATAAATACAGATTGAACGGAGTACAGGAATTGATTATATTCAGATGAGAAATATATTTCCAATATGAAACTGCTCTCTTCATTGTGTAAATAGATTCTTACAAATAAATGAATTGTGTTAAATGTTGCGGTGAACAGCTTCCAGCCGTCGGCTTTCATAAACACATGGGTTTATTACACATTCTATCGATATATTAAGTTGTATTACACAGCTTACTGACAAATACAATTACACAGCTTACTGTCATAAAAAGTATCACACAGCCTATTGACAAAAAGAATTACACAGCTTACTGACAAAAAGAATTACACAGCTTACTGACATAAAAAGTATTACACACCCTACCGACATAAAAATATTACACCGCCTGCTTATGTTAAAGTATTACACATCCTACCGACATAAAAATATTACACCGCTTACTTATGTTAAAGTATTACACATCCTACCGACATAAAATATTATACCGCCTGCTTATGTTAAAAGTATTACACATCCTACTGACATAAAAAGTATTACACATCCTACCGACATAAAAATATTACACCACATACTTATGTTAAAAGTATGACACATCCTACCGACATAAAAAATATTACACCGCCTACTTGCGTTAAAATTATTACACATCCTACTGACATAAAACGTATTATACCGCCTACTTATGTTAAAGTATTACACATCCTACCGACATAAAATATTATACCGCCTGCTTATGTTAAAGTATTACACATCCTACCGACATAAAATATTATACCGCCTGCTTATGTTAAAAGTATTACACATCCTACCGACATAAAATATTATACCGCCTACTTATGTTAAAAGTATTACACATCCTACCGACATAAAAATATTACACCGCCTACTTATGTTAAAGTATTACACATCCTACTGACATAAAAATATTACACCGCCTACTTATGTTAAAGTATTACACAGCCTACTTATGTTAAAGTATTACACATCCTACCGACATAAAAATATTACACCGCCTACTTATGTTAAAAGTATTACACAGCCTACTGACATGAAAAGTTGTATTACACAGCCTACTGACATAAAAATTGTATTACACAGCCTACTAACATGAAACTATTACACATAATCAAACATTCGTTAACAAGCCGATCTCAAAAATAAGCCTATCCTGAAAATAAGGCTGTAATATTTCATATAGAATATGCATTTGTTTATCATTAAAGAAAATAAGCATTGTCTTATCTTAGATTTTTGGGGTAAAAATAAAGCAATAATGTGCTGCATTGTTTGATCTCAAACGTTATCCAATCAAAACACGAGGTGAAACATCAATAGGATTTCACTTTTGTAATATATCTAAATAATATTTTGGCGTGTGCAATGTGTGTGCTTAAAAACCATTTTCAAATGGAGCTTGAATTTTCTAAACATTTGGAGTTTCCCACAATAGCAACAAAATAAAGTACATTTGTGTACTGCTATCGTCACATCCCATAATATTAACAAAAGTAAACAACAACTATAGGAAGCATTAAAATCACCTACAACAAAGTAAGTTAGGAAGACAGTTTGGCAAGGGCACCATCTACAACTAGGGGAGTTAGGAAGACAGTTTGGTAAGGGCACCATCTACAACTAGGGGAGTTAGGAAGACAGTTTGGTAAGGGCACCATCTGCAACTAGGGGAGTTAGGAAGACAGTTTGGTAAGGGCACCATCTACAACTAGGGGAGTTAGGAAGACAGTTTGGTAAGGGCACCATCTACAACTAGAGGAGTTAGGAAGACAGTTTGGTAAGGGCACCATCTACAACAAGGGGAGTTGGGAAGACAGTTTGGCAAGGGCACCATCTACAACTAGGGGAGTTAGGAAGACAGTTTGGTAAGGGCACCATCTACAACTAGGGGAGTTAGGAAGACAGTTTGGTAAGGGCACCATCTACAACTAGGGGAGTTAGGAAGACAGTTTGGTAAGGGCACCATCTACAACTAGGGGAGTTAGGAAGACAGTTTGGTAAGTGCACCATCTACAACTAGAGGAGTTAGGAAGACAGTTTGGTAAGGGCACCATCTACAACAAGGGGAGTTAGGAAGACAGTTTGGTAAGGGCACCATCTACAACAAGGGGAGTTGGGAAGACAGTTTGGTAAGGGCACCATCTACAACAAGGGGAGTTAGGAAGACAGTTTGGTAAGGGCACCATCTACAACTAGGGGAGTTGGGAAGACAGTTTGGTAAGGGCACCATCTGCAACTAGGGGAGTTAGGAAGACAGTTTGGTAAGGGCACCATCTACAACTAGGGGAGTTAGGAAGACAGTTTGGTAAGGGCACCATCTACAACTAGGGGAGTTAGGAAGACAGTTTGGTAAGGGCACCATCTACAACTAGGGGAGTTAGGAAGACAGTTAGGTAAGGGCACCATCTACAACAAGGGGAGTTAGGAAGACAGTTTTGTAAGGGCACCATCTACAACTAGAGGAGTTAGGAAGACAGTTTGGTAAGGGCACCATCTACAACTAGAGGAGTTAGGAAGACAGTTTGGTAAGGGCACCATCTACAACAAGAGAAGTTAGGAAGACAGTTTGGTAAGGGCACCATCTACAACAAGGGGAGTTAGGAAGACAGTTTGGTAAGGGCACCATCTACAACAAGGGAAGTTAGGAAGACAGTTTGGTAAGGGCACCAGCAGAGGACGCTTACTCATCCAGAACACCTGGTCGTATTCTCTTTGTACTTTTTCCTTTCTTCATATTTTCACAAGTGGCATTGTTTTTTTAGCTTAGATTAAGATTATATTGATAGTAATTTTTCTTGTTGTTTATTGTGCATTAAAAAATCGATATGTTGATATTTTATTTATTTATTTCCACTATACCATGAAAACATGGAATCAAAACAATGATACCATTTGTTAGAGTTTTGAGTTTTCTGCATTCACTGCATATGCTTTTAATATTTTGTCACACCTTGATGAAATACTTTATTTTCAACAGTAATCACCACTTTCAATTCTTTCGCTAAATCCTTTGTAACTAGTATTTAAAATGCTTTATCAGTTGATATTATGTTCTCTCGTCATCCTTATTTGATCCGCGAAGAAATTTACAAACTGATGAATTATCTCGTCCACAACCCCAAGAGCATCAAATACTAAAGAATTGTGGTAAATTATATTTTCTAAACTATTTTTATTACAGGTTTCAAAATTATGTTCGGTTGTTACAAGAAACAACGTTACACAACTTTATCAAAGATGGACGACTCGAGCCATAGTGCTACAGGACTTACCATGACAAACGCAACCACGCACTGCACCCGGATTTAGGACAAGGTACCCGAATATTTGGTCGTTGCACCCGGGTGGTTGGTCGGCACCCAGATGTTCCATCGCTGTACCCGGATGTTCCATCGCTGTACCCGGATGTTTGGTCTTTGTACCTAAATTTAGACTGATGCACTATGATGCAGGATTTTCCTTAAATATGTTCATATCATTTATCTAATTTATTTAAATCTCAAGGAAATAGCTTCCGAGTTGGCATTTTGTTTAAGTCATAAGATTTTAATCCGGAATTACCCTAGGGTCTAAAACAACACAATAGAACAAGCTATGTGTCAACTTCTTACAAAATAAAACAAAAAGAGCTTCATTTTTATTTCATACAGGTTTCAAATCAATCTCATTGTCAGGATATGATAACGTCGACTTTATGTCTTTAAAAGCGACAGTGGTCAGCCACCAGTGATGTGTTTGAAATATTGTCAACCTACAAAAAATGTGTTTAGGAGGTCAACTTACCAATAATGTGTATTAAAAAGTTACCAGCGTAATTCAAAAGATTGTCGTCAAATCTTCGATGCTGTGAAATGAATTGTCGGCTATTCGTGTGTAGTGACAACTGATACTTTGTTTTAAAAATGATGTGTAAACTGATGATGTGATAAAAAGTGACGTAAATGGAGTGTTTAAGTGGACAACTACCATTGATGTATATAAAAAAAATGTCGATCTATCTATTAGTCAAAAGGAGTTTGGTTGACTAGCTGAGGATATGCATTAAGGACAGACCAGCTTACTGACAGAGAGATTTAAATGAGATAGTAAGACATTGTGTATATCGCTTTTGGTTGAATGTGAACCACGCTATAATATATTGATCTAATGGTCTCGCTGAGAATCATGCTACTGGGATACATATCAAAATAAAAACAGTGTATGTGTGATATATTGGTTTTATTGTACTAAATGTGTTTGATATTTGTTTACTGGCTGAAAGGTGGATGGTGACTAAACAATGCGATAAAAGTCACGGTTTTAGGTTGATGGTGACTAAACAATGCGATAAAAGTCGCGGTTTAAGGATGATGGTGACTAAACAATGCGATAAAAGTCACGGTTTAAGGTTGATGGTGACTAAACAATGCGATAAAAGTCAAGGTTTAAGGTTGATGGTGACTAAATGTGATAAAAGTCAAGGTTTAAGGTTGATGGTGACTAAACAAAGCGATAAAAGTCACGGTTTAAGGTTGATGGTGACTAAACAAAGCGATAAAAGTCACGGTTTAAGGTTGATGGTGACTAAATGTGATAAAAGTCAAGGTTTAAGGTTGATGGTGACTAAATGTGATAAAAGTCAAGGTTTAAGGTTGATGGTGACTAAACAAACGATAAAAGTCAAGGTTTAAGGTTGATGGTGACTAAACAAAGCGATAAAAGTCACGGTTTAAGGTTGATGGTGACTAAATAATGCGATAAAAGTCACGGTTTAAGGTTGATGGTGACTAAACAATGCGATAAAAGTCAAGGTTTAAGGTTGATGGTGACTAAATAATGTGATAAAAGTCAAGGTTTAAGGTTGATGGTGACTAAACAATGCGATAAAAGTCAAGGTTTAAGGTTGATGGTGACTAAATAATGTGATAAAAGTCACGGTTTAAGGTTGATGGTGACTAAACAAAGCGATAAAAGTCACGGTTTAAGGCTGATGGTGACTAAATAATGCGATAAAAGTCACGGTTTAAGGTTGATGGTGACTAAACAATGCGATAAAAGTCACGGTTTAAGGTTGATGGTGACTAAATGTGATAAAAGTCAAGGTTTAAGGTTGTTGGTGACTAAACAAACGATAAAAGTCACGGTTTAAGGTTGATGGTGACTAAATAATGTGATAAAAGTCACGGTTTAAGGTTGATGGTGACTAAACAATGCGATAAAAGTCACAGTTTAAGGTTGATGGTGACTAAACAATGCGATAAAAGTCACGGTTTAAGGTTGATGGTGACTAAACAATGCGATAAAAGTCACGGTTTAAGGTTGATGGTGACTAAACAATGCGATAAAAGTCACCGATTAAGCGGTTTAAGGTTGATGGTGACTAAACAAAGCGATAAAAGTCACGGTTTAAGGTTGATGGTGACTAAACAATGCGATAAAAGTCACGGTTTAAGGTTGATGGTGACTAAACAATGCGATAAAAGTCACGGTTTAAGGTTGATGGTGACTAAATGTGATAAAAGTCAAGGTTTAAGGTTGTTGGTGACTAAACAATGCGATAAAAGTCACAGTTTAAGGTTGATGGTGACTAAACAAAGCGATAAAAATCACGGTTTAAGGTTGATGGTGACTAAACAAAGCGATAAAAGTCACCGTTTAAGCAGTTTAAGGTTGATGGTGACTAAACAATGTAAAAGTCACGGTAAGGTTGATGGTGACTAAACAAAGCGATAAAAGTCACGGTTTAAGGTTGATGGTGACTAAATGTGATAAAAGTCAAGGTTTAAGGTTGATGGTGACTAAATGTGATAAAAGTCAAGGTTTAAGGTTGATGGTGACTAAACAAACGATAAAAGTCAAGGTTTAAGGTTGATGGTGACTAAACAAAGCGATAAAAGTCACGGTTTAAGGTTGATGGTGACTAAATAATGCGATAAAAGTCACGGTTTAAGGTTGATGGTGACTAAACAATGCGATAAAAGTCAAGGTTTAAGGTTGATGGTGACTAAATGTGATAAAAGTCAAAGTTTAAGGTTGTTGGTGACTAAACAAACGATAAAAGTCAAGGTTTAAGGTTGATGGTGACTAAATAATGCGATAAAAGTCACGGTTTAAGGTTGATGGTGACTAAACAATGCGATAAAAGTCACGGTTTAAGGTTGATGGTGACTAAATAATGTGATAAAAGTCAAGGTTTAAGGTTGATGGTGACTAAACAATGCGATAAAAGTCACGGTTTAAGGTTGATGGTGACTAAATGTGATAAAAGTCAAGGTTTAAGGTTGTTGGTGACTAAACAAACGATAAAAGTCACGGTTTAAGGTTGATGGTGACTAAATAATGTGATAAAAGTCACGGTTTAAGGTTGATGGTGACTAAACAATGCGATAAAAGTCACAGTTTAAGGTTGATGGTGACTAAACAATGCGATAAAAGTCACGGTTTAAGGTTGATGGTGACTAAACAAAGCGATAAAAGTCACGGTTTAAGGTTGATGGTGACTAAACAATGCGATAAAAGTCACGGTTTAAGGTTGATGGTGACTAAACAATGCGATAAAAGTCACCGTTTAAGCGGTTTAAGGTTGATGGTGACTAAACAATTTAATCACAGTCACGGGTTACAGCTGCTCCAAACCATTTAACATTATAGTCATTTAATATCGTTTTATCTGAAAATGGTTCTCTTGCCAAAGGGCACTCATTTTTAGTAATTATGTTGAAGAATTTATTAACGATCGAATATTACAACCCCTGAAGTATAAACACCGAGATCAAATGAAATTGATTATACTTTTCACAGATTCTGCTGAATTATGCATTGAGGCCGTTAGTAATGAAGAGTTTTAAAAGTCGACCCTGTTACCATGCTAGGGATATTGAAAAATTGCGTTTTACATGAAATGTTGAATGTCCTCTATTTTAATCTCAAGGCTACAGTCGGTATGATTCTTCCAGGATATTACTCAAATGTCGGCTTGTGTCATTTGTTATTTGGCTGAGTGGCTGAGAATCCGTTAATAAGTATATTTGTATCGCTTATTGCAGTGCGAGACTAATAAAATTCCAAGCGGGGTAGGATATTTTTCAGTCGAAGACATCAATTGAATACCAAATTCCTCTGCGGGGCCCATACAGAGCTGTCGATATCACAAATTCATAAGTCACGTCTCTTACCTGGTTTGCATCCTCACACAATCAAGCAGAAATTTGATCATACATCAACTTTACGTTCGACGCTCAAAGCTGAGTTTATGAACTTACAGAATCTTAGGTCGAGACTCAAGCCGACTTAGCCAGCATCTATAATCTCAAACCGAAACTTTTGACGTCACAAAATATAATAACGAGTTACAATTCGTGATTTTCTAGTAGCAGTACCTTTAATCGATGTCAAAACCGTTGTTACTTCGTTCTTTACGATTTTGTGTCATATCACCCGAGTAAGCTGTAAATTCGTGTTACTTGTCAACTAAGGATGAACCAATTTCAAAAGCATCTCTCGTAGAAAGTAGTTACGAACGACCAGACCCTGATAGAAACATACCAGTAACAGGGAAAAAGTAATGCCTCCATCAGTGTATCAGTGTTGAATGCAATTAAAACGCTCACAATAATTTATAACATTCTGGATGAAGAAAAAAAAGCGTTATTCTAATTACGTCACGGAACGCAACAGAGCACCCGATAACCTTTTAGAGTCTACGGCAGATTCTCGAAAACTGGAATCAGTTCATGCAGTCCATAATTACATAAAAATCAAAACTTAGCTGATCTATCACAGTAACAAAGACACATCCAAAGATTACAAATATGATTTATCTATAGGGAAATGTAATTCAGTTGATACGAAATAATCGTCTTTTGCGAAACACACACACACACACACACACACCCATCGACACACACACACCCTCCCTCACCCACACACAAACACACACTCAACCACACACTCAACCACACACACACACACACACACACATCGACACCCACACCCACACACACACTCACCCACACACAAACACACACTCAACCACACACACACACACACACATCGACACACACACACACACAACCAACCACACACACACACACACACACACACACACACACACACACACCCTCACCCACACACACACACTCAACCACACACACACACACACACTCTCTCTCTCTCTCTCTCACACACACACAACCACACACACACACACAACCACACACACACACACACAAAACCTCACACACACACACACAACCACACATACACTCAAACACACACAACCACACACACACACACACGCAACCACACACATACACCACACACACAACAAC